TCTTTATCTGGATACAGGTCCCTTATCAGACATGATTTGCAACTTTTTTCTTCCATTCTGTGGGCTGTTTTTTTCACTTTCTTGGTGGCGTCCTTTGAAGCACAGAAGTTTTGATTTTGACGAACCCCCCTTTCCTGTTTCATCTTTTGTTTCTTGTGCTTTGGTGTCGTCCAGGCGTTGGTGGGGCGGGGGCTCGGGCCGCAGGACCCTTCCTGGTGCCTTCACCACCCGAACCTTAACTACCGTGGGCAGCCCGGTTTTCTCCGAGATGGTCGGTGTGAGGGAGCAGCTGGTTGTAGGGAGCTGCGCTGACAGCCTTCCCCTTCGGGAGATGTGACGGGGCGTCCCCAGGTCGTGGCGCAGGCGGGACATGTGGGAGCCAGAGCCGAGTTTTGCCTTGTGTTCTCCACCGCGCGGAAATGAAGCTCACGTAGCCGTGGCGGTGCTGCTCCAACAGCAGCCCCTGCAGCCACGCGTCGGACTGAGCTCGGCCACCTCGCTCGCGGCCCTCGGGGGCCTGGCTGGGGCCACTATCTCCTGTTTAAGAACTGGGCGTATGGGTGCTCCTGCCGCTTCCACCATGCTGGCCTCCAGGGGCGCGCTGTCATTTACGGCTTCCTGGAGGAGGTTGGTGCTGCGACTTGGCCCGAGATCTTACCCCCAGGCTGTGCCTCCTGGACAGGACACAGCGGCTGTCCCTCTCCCCCGTCCACCCCGCACTTCCCAGAAACCTTCCCTGAAATTAGAAGCTCCTTGGGTGTTGGGTGAGCACAGCCGGCCTGTGCCCTTAGTACACAGCTGTCCCTGTCGCCTGACCGTGCACGCGCCGGCAGAGTGGTACAGGCGCCGTGTGGGTGAGCAGCTGCCTCCAGCTCAGATCTGAGACTGGCTGCTCTCCCCGGCCGGCAGCGCGGCTCTCCGTGTGCCCTTGGGAGGCTCCCCTCCTCGCTAGCTGCGACCTGGTGACAGAGGGTGTGGGAGGGGGTGATGGAAAAGATACAGAAGAGGGTAAGGGAGGGGTGCAGGCAGGTGTGTGACGCAGCAGAGCACGTGCATCGGGAGGGCCAAACGCAGCTCTATGTGAGCGTCACATGGGGGCCCCTGCTCACCTGGAGGGTGTGTGCTCATACCCATGAGACTGGGACGCGGCCCCTGGGCTGATCTGTGGAGCCTGTGTGTCCAGAAGTGAAGCTGCTTCCCGGGAGAGGCAGACCGCCTTCCAGGAGCTGATGGAGGAGGCACCTGTGCTGCTCACCTGGCCCTGTGCAGACGTCGGGTCCTGACGCCCGGTTGATGGTGTCCTTCGAACCAGTTGTCACCAACCATAATTTAAGAGGAATGCATTTCTCCAGGTCGCTCGGTTGCTGGAGGAGGAGGTGGCGGGGGCGTGGCTGCAGAGGTGTCACCCGACCTGGGGTGGAGACCTTACCGATGGGCAGAGGCAGGACACCTTGCAGGCGCTGGGTCCTGCGTTTCCCACGCTCTGTCCTTTGACTCCTTTGCTGTGCCTTGTTACCGCGGAGGGTCTCAGGTGATGTGCAGACCTTTGGAGATGGGCTTACGCTAATTCTGGTCACTGTGTAGATGGCTCACTGAACGGGGGCCCTTTGCTTGCCGATGAGCGAGAAGTAAGAGGTGTCGCCCCACGTGGCCCTGGGCGTGTGCCGAGGCCCCCGGCCCACCGTCTCCACCGCTCAGCTGCAGCCGCCTCGGTGTCCAGGTCTTGTCCTAGGACCCCGTGTGCCATGTCCCCGCAGAGCCCTGCCCGCCGGCGATGTGGGCCTCTGTCGGGGTGCTCACGTGTCTGGGGCCCGTTCAGGGACCAGACACCCACCTCTAGCTTATTTGGAGGGTGTTAACCCAGCGCCCTCCCAGCAGTGCTCCAGAAGTGCCCACGTGGAACTAGGGTGACTGTGCCTCTGAGGTGCAGCCCTCGCTCCGTGGTCCAGCCCCATGGGGCACTTGCTCTCTGCACGGTCCCTGGGTGGTCCCTTGGACAAAGGAGCTGCTTGCTCTCTTGGACGGGAGGGAAGGTTGACCTAAGTGTTCTGGCCAGCTCTCGGTTGCACCTTCCCCCTCTGTTGCCGAACCAGGCTGCCTGCCGGGAGCTGCACCCCGGTGGGCACTGCAGGATGCGGGACATCTGACCCCTCGGTAAGTGTGGCGTCTTGATCAGGGTGTCTTAGTCTCTCTGCAGACCTGGACCCCAGTCCTGTGCCCAGAGGTTTGAGCAGGGATGGTCAGCACCGAGTTGGAGGGTGCTCAGCTTCAGTTGGGAATTGGGAGTGGACGGCCCAGTCAGCTGAGCGCACTGACCCCGGTGCCTGGTGGCACCCTCCATGGGCCTCTCGCTGGCTGGGATTCAGTCCGAGGCCTTCTGCGTGTTGGGCAGAACAGGGTCCTCAGAGAGTCTTCCTGACTGACTTCTCTGCCTGGCGTCTGGAGGCCTGTGACTCCTAGTTCATCGCTTCACTCACCTCCTCCTGCCTTCGGCCCGGTGTCCGTAGCTTCCTCACGGTGACTCGGGCTAACCGGGGACCTGGGGGACCCAGCCTGCACTCCCGGCCCCGTTTTCCTCCCACCTCAGACCAGAGTCTGGGAGCTGGGCGGTTTAGGGCACCTGCTGTGCACACGCTGCCGGAGGCGGGTTACTCACCGAGCACGGCGCCCGTGCCTGGTCCCCGGGGGGCAGAACTCCCATCCCAGTCCTGTCCTGCCCGCCGGGCCTGGCCCTGCAGCACAGAGTGTCCTTCTCTCCGTGGGGACAGCTCTCATACCTGATGGTGCTGGGCAGGGTCCAGAGCTCCAGGGACACTGGCGCTGCTCGTGTGGCCTCTCCCTGGGTGGCTGCTCCCGCCTGGTCCCCCAGCCACATTGCCTGGTGCAGACCGGAGGATCTGGGGGTGATGGCTGACGTCAGCCCCGCAGAGCAAGAAAACAAAATCAGAGCAGCCCTGTCCGGTGCTGGTGAGGGTGCTGCTCCTCTCTGGCGGATCATGTGTGTGCACAACCTTGTAGTTGTGAGCGGGGCTGTGCCCCACCCCTGGCGGCCCCACCTGTGAGGCCGCGCTCGGGCGGAAGCTGACGTCTGCCCGAACAGGCGTCCCCCTCCAGGCACGGTGGAGACACGCAGGTGGCCGTGCACAGGGCAGAGCGGACCCCACCTGGGCAGACCGAGGCCGCTGCTGCTGTTTCCCTGAGCACCTGCGGCCCTAGTTAGGACGGTCAGGGTCCTGACACCTCGCTTTCAGAGCCCTTAGCCTGAGGTCCCCGCCTCCCACCAGGGCCCATGGGTAAAACTGTGGACCTGGGTGGGGAAGGTGACTTTTCCCTCTGACTCAGAGCCACCACTTCCTCCCACCTGGCAGCCACCTGGGGGTGGCGCACGGCCCTCCCACGAGGCCCCGGCCTTGGGGTGTCGCCGTTGGCGCTGGGTCTGTGTTGAGGCCTGCGTCTGGGGAGGCCAGCAGCGCCTCCCTTTTCTGACCCTGTGCCCTCGGGCTGCTTCCACCCCTGCAGACTCCCTTCCTGTTCTGTCCAGGGCGGTGCTGGGCAGCTCCGTACCCGGCCAGTCGGGGAGCCGCCCTCTACACTGCCAGGGTCGCCCCAGAACCGGCAGCTGGGGGGTGTCAGTCCCCGTGGAGCAGCCGGAGCTCTGCGCGTGAAGGAGTCGCGCTGTGCCCTCAGGCCTCAGCCCAGTGCCGCCAGCCGGCATCTGGGGTGTGCTCTCCCCTTTCTTTTCTCCCCACACGTGTTTTCTCTGCTTTAACATATCCAAGGTGGGGCATGAGGAATGGTCGGAGGCTGCAGGGCAGGCCCTGGTGGTGTTCCCCTAGGCCCTCACTCCTGTGGGCCCTAGATGTCCAGGTCAGGGGCCGGCGTCCAAGCTGCTGGAACCTGGGGCTCTCAGTGCAGCACTGGGGGTTGGGGGACTCAAATCCAAGGAAAGCTTCATCCTTGACCCAAAACCTTCCTCCCCCTACCCTACCCTACCCCACCTCGGGCCTCAGCACAGGGCGCAGGTGCCCATGGTCCGTCCAGGGCAGAGAGGAGCCCCCACTCTGCTTGCGGGGCCAGCCTGTAGTGCCCTGGGACTCAGGCGCTAAGTAGGGCCTTTGTGAGCCTGAGGCCTGGGGCTGTTGCCAGAAGCCGCCCTGGCTCCTAGTGGCCCCCCATCTGCCTGCTGTCCTCCGTGCTGGTCTTGGAGGATGGCCACCTCCTGACCTCCCCACCCATAGCTAGTGCCTGTGATCTGGCTGACACCCTGCCGTGGTCGACGTGGCTGTCGTGGGGGTGAAGTCACCCCCAGGTTGTTCTCCCAGATCTTTGCAGGTTGCGCAGGCCCCTGGGTGACACGCACAGACCCCGTGTGAGGTGTGCTCTGTGGGCAGACACATGTGTCCTGACCTCGGTGTCAGACACGTGTGGCTCTGCGCGTTCCTGGGTAGGGGCACTCTGTGGGTGGGGGTCTCCTGGGGCCAACCCACGGCTTGGCACTGTGCTGGCGGCTTCTGGCACCGCTGCCTGGGCGTGTCCTGGGCCCATAGACTGGCAGTGAGGCGCACAGCAGGGTGAGGAGGTGGGCCTCACCTCCTTGCAGAATGGGACGTGTGGCTGTCACTGCGCGCAGCCTGTCCCTGGCCACCTGCGGCCGCTGGGACTGGTCCAGGCATGAAGCAGCTCCTACTTCCCAGGGCTGCAGGTGAGGGAGAGGCAGCGGGGCCTGTCCCACACGCGCCCCTGTGCTGCCTCCTCACTGTCACAGCCGTCCCTGGGCTTCGTGGAAGGCACGGGGATTTCTCCTCTCATGGGCGTCTGAGCGGTTGGCACCTGAGTGGCCTCGGCCGGCCACATCCTGGGGTTGACAGTGGGCTCGCGTGGGGCCGGGGGTGGGGGTGAACAGGAGGCCGGGGGCTCGAGGCTGCGTGGGGGTGGCCTGGTCTCTGCGGCCCAAGTCATCTGTCCCACACATCCCCTCGGCGTCGCTGGGGTTTCTCAGCATCTGCTCAGCTGCTGCGGCTTCTCTGTCCGTGAGAACTCGGCTCAGACAGGAAGCCCCACCCCGGCAGGGGGTCCTGGCCCCGCCCGGCCCAGCCCCACACGCACTCGCCGTGGGAGGCGGGCAGACTCGGACTTGCTTCCCCTAAAAGGCAACAGCAGGTGGGCTTTTCTTTCCTGAGTGAGTGTTTGCGGGTCTGAGCAGACCACCCACGGCCGCCTACGGGTCCAGCCCCGAACCTTCTTCCAGGGGCAAGGTGGGCAGGCTGCCCCCGGGCAGCGATGGAGGCTGGTGCGTCCTTGCATCTGCCGCCCGGTCCCATAGGTGCAAGGTCACTGTCTGTCTTCCCTGTTTCTTGGGGCAGAATTAGGGAGTCAGGCTGTGTGGGGTCAGGGGAGGCGTCGTGCTGGCTCCTTGGCTCTGTGAGTCTGGGTGGAACCTTAAACCTCTTGAGTTTTGTGGTGATGTCCTGGTGAGCTGGCACCTGGCTGACCACGTCCCTCCCACCCCCCACCCCCCGGGGAGCACGTGCCCCAAGGGCCAGTTCAGGAAGTGTTCCCTGATGCAGAGGGAGCGCCACATCCGCTACCCACTCCGAGGTCAGGCCTGGGGACTGACCGGGCGTCGTCCTCTTGGCCCCTTGCCGTCGGTGGGTGCTGGCGTGTGGCCCGTGCTGTGGCCTCTCAGGCACACCCACAGCCTCGTAGTTTCTGCTCAGCCCCGAGCCCGTGGCGGGGAACGTCGGTCTTCCAGACGCTGCTCTGTTTTCTCAGGGAGGGACTCTGTCCTCGGGAATCTGACACCAGCCTGGGGTCTGCTCGGACCACGGCGTCCAGCAGACCCAGAGCTGGGGGCCGGGCAGCAGCGCTGACAGGGAGACTTGGGAAGGCCGAGGGGCTCCTCTCCGGCCCAGCGCACTTGTTTCATCTGGGGAGTGTTTCTTCGGGGCGGGTGGGGTAGGGGCTGCTCCGCTGCCGCGTGTGTAGCCGCCCCAGGCCCACAGGGAGTCTTTGATGTTAGTTCCAGTTGGTGAAATCCAGAAACTCTGGAGGTGTTGTGTGATGCTCCCTGAAAGCTCTGGGCGGCCCCAGGGGGGCCCTACACTCAGCCAGTGAGCCTGCCTGCTGGGCTGCCCCTCCCACACGCGAGGGTGGAGGCAAGGGTCCCTTCTGAACCAGAGGGCCCTCAGCTCCTGCCGGCTGCCTGGCACCAGTCCCCGTGACATGTGCAGGGCTGCAGTGGGACCAGTCCCACGGTGAGCGGCACCAGAGCAGCTCCGGCTGTCCCCGCATGCGGCAGGGCCTCCGTGTCACTCACAGAACACACCTCATACAGGATTGAGTTTGGGGGCCGGAGACCCTGCCCTAGGCCTGGAGATGCCACCCAGCCTGCCAACAGAACTGTCCTGTCCTCACAGGTCACCTCTGAACCCCCGGCCTCCATAAGGAAAGCAGATGACACCCCCTCCCAGCACCCCACGTCCTCTGAGAAGGACAAGCCGTCTGGCTGGCTGCGGACTCTGGCCGGCTCCTCCAGCAAGGTTCTCCTCGGCCAGCGGGCAGGGCGGGCGGGCGGGCAGATGGGCAGCCCTCAGCCTCTGACCGCACATCTCTGCCTCCATGTCTCCCAACAGAGCCTGGGCTGCGTCCACCCCCGCCAGCGCCTCTCCGCCTTCCGACCCTGGTCCCCTGCGGTCTCTGCGAGTGACAAAGAGCTCTCCCCGCACCTCCCGGCCCTGATTCGAGACAGGTGAGTACCAGGCCCCAGAATGGGTACCAGACCCCAGGATGAGAGCCAACGGGCGAGGCAGTTTCCTGCTTTGATCATCCCTGAGCCTGTATGTGCTCGGCATGGCCTGGAGGCTACCTGTCAGGTCCAGGCTCTCCGGTCAGGGCAGCCACAGACATGCTGGTCCTTTTTATGGCATCAGGAGAGGGCGTTAGAATTGCATGTGATTGGAATCTAGAGCCTCCTCTACACTGGGTGCCAGTTCCGGCTTCTCTGGGCCCCCGTCTGGAGTGTCCTTCTCCCTCACACGTCTGCAGGAGCAGGTCCCGAGACGAAGGGTGCATGCTGGCCGTCAGAAGGGGTGCAGGGGCGGGGGGGGACACCAAGGCACCAACGCCCACCGTCCCCTGCAGCTTTTACTCCTACAAGAGCTTTGAGACGGGTGTGGCCCCCAACGTGGCCCTGGCACCACCGGCCCAGCACAAGGTGGTAAGCAGCCCGCCATGCGCCTCCGTTGTCTCCCGGGCCCCTGAGCCTCTTGCCACCTGCATCCAGCCTCGGAAGCGGAAGCTGACCATGGACACCCCGGGAGCCCCAGGGACGCCAGCCCCCGTGGCCGTCCCGGAGGATGACAAGGACTCGGAGGCTGAAGTGGAAGTGGAGAGCAGGGAGGAGTGTGAGTGTCAGATGCTCCTCTGCTCCCCTCCCCGTTGGGAGGGTCCTGGTCCCAGCCCGGCCCTTCCTCAGGCGGCGCTGTGTGCAGAGACCGCTCTGGTAACCTGGTGTCTTTTCTGTCTGTCTCCGTAGTCACCTCCTCCCTGTCCTCGCTCTCTTCTCCGTCCTTTACCTCATCCAGCTCTGCCAAGGACCTGAGCTCCCCGGGCGTGCACGCCCCACCCGCGGCCCCCGCCGCCCCCGATGCCACGGCCCCTGCTGACGCCCCAAGCAGCGGGCTGGAGGCAGAGCTGGAGCATCTGCGGCAGGCCCTGGAGGGCGGCCTGGACACCAAGGAAGCCAAAGAGAAGTTCCTGCATGAGGTGGTGAAGATGCGGGTGAAGCAGGAGGAGAAGCTGAGCGCCGCGCTGCAGGCCAAGCGCAGCCTCCACCAGGTGAGGCCCAGGGGCCGTGTCGCGGCAGCGAGCATGCAGGCGGCTCTGCACGCACTGCCTGCTGGGCCCTGCCATGCCCCGTGCCCCGAGAGCAGGGTGACTCCACAGTCGACTGCTTGCTTTTGAAGAGGGGGCTGGAGACCGAGGTTGGGGCCACCTGCATCCTCCGCTTCCGCTGCTGCCTTTCTCTACTGTCGGAGCTCTCAGCGCCTCGGGGAGGGCGGGGCCCCTGCACGGTGGCTTTGCGGGCTGGACCCCGGGTCTTAGCTGCATTCACACTTCCACCAGCGTCTGGCAGCTCTGGGACAGCTTCACATGTGGGCTCTGAGCACAGCCCAGCCCCAGTCACCCCGGGTGCCACCGTCCTTCCAAATGGGTTTCAGGCACTCGCTCAGAGCCTCCACCCCATTTCCCTGCTTCTGGTTGAAAGTGCGACTTTCTCACACGCACGTTTGTAAGCATGTTTGCAGGGGCGAGTCTCCAAGAAGGGCTCGGAGGCCGAGGAGGGCGGCTGCCCCCATCAGGTTGCGTGGGGCCCCCAGGGCCCTCAGACCAGCATGACGCCTGCGTGAACCCTTCCCCTGGGGCCAGGCACAGTGGGGCGCAGAGGGGACACTTCCGAGCGCAGCCACCTCCTCGTCAGACCCTGGGCCCGAGTAGGTGCCGGCAAGCGCACCAGGGCCCTCGGGAGGGGAGGGGACACTCTGTGTTGGGACCCCATGGGGCTGGGGGCCTGAGACCGGTGTCCCGCCGCCCCCAGGAGCTGGAGTTCCTGCGTGTGGCCAAGAAGGAGAAGCTGCGGGAGGCCACAGAGGCGAAGCGCAGCCTGAGGAAGGAGATCGAGCGCCTGCGGGCAGAGAACGAGAAGAAGATGAAGGAGGCCAGCGAGGCGCGGGTCCGGCTGAAGCGGGAGCTGGAGCAGGCGCGGCAGGCTCGGGTGTGCGACAAGGGCTGCGAGGCCGGCCGCCTGCGGGCCAAGTACTCGGCCCAGGTATGCGGGGCTGGGCTGCAGGCCTAGGGTAATGGGCAGGCGTGGGCACCGTTGGCGCCTCGGGGACCCTCTCACCTCATTGGTCACCCAACCCCAGCCACAGCAGACTCAGGCGCTGCGGGACTTCAGACCCGGCCTCCGCGGGAGGTGTCGTGGCCTGAGGCTCTCCAGCCTCCTGCTCTGGGGGAGGGCTGCACCCCCACTTCACGCACTTTTGAATGACTGGCATGTCCCGATTGGCCATCCTGTCCGGCCAGGGTCTGAGAGATGGGGCTGTGGGTGCGACAGCCCCTGCTCTGGCCTCACAGCCGCCTAGGAGCCTAAGCTGGGCAGCAGGTCCCCCAGGACCTCGGGAGGGCGTGCTGAGGCCACTGCGCTCGGGGCAGTCCGAGCAGGTCGGTAG